GTGCTAAACTCCGAAGTTGGCATCTCTCAACACCCACAGCACTTTTTCTATTGAGTTTCATCTCAAACGCTTAATGGGACGTTTCTGTATCTTGTGCTATCGCAGTCTTCACTGGTCTCAGTACACCTTTTATTCAAAGTCCTGTTGCGAGAAGAGTTTTGTGTGTACTTTGTAGGTGTCTGGACTGCCCCATGTTGCACAATGGATTTGAATTTGTATCTTGACCGTGCAATTTAGTATCTGGGCAGGTAGAAACAGCTGACCTGTGTAACCCATTGGCCTTGCACAGTTTGAACATAAATCCATAAAGTCTGAAAGTTTTCAGTCTCAGCTTGGGGAGATGATTCTCCTTACAAGTTGTTGCTCCATTTTCTGACTCCATGTAAAAACATAAGACACCCTCCAGGCAGACCTCAGCTCACAGTTGGAAGAAGGGGAGGAAAAAACACTCTTTGAGCCTTTACAGAAACTGCTCTGTGGGATAAGGGGCAAATTATTTCTACATATGGCTTGAAGTTAAGTTGGCTTGGAAGACCACACTTTTTAAAACGTTCTGATGGTACCATATTTTGTGATGGGGATTAAAAGTAGTTGGAGATTCTACAAAATTAGAAGGCGGTGACACAATATGCTATAAACCATGATGTGGTTTCTGAAATAAAAAGGTTAATGGTGACTGACAAGCTAAAAATTTGCTACTATGCAGGGTATGTGACCTAATTAGGCTTTTATCTAAAAAAATATTTTGCTCTCAATAAGAGATTCAAACTAGATATGTGGTGCAATCCGAAGACATAGAGAAAAATACCGGGAAGTATATTTGCAAGAAACATGCAAATTTTCCAATTATGTAACTATTTCAGATGAGTCTCGCATCATTCTAATTTGTAAAGGGCCCTGTGAAAGACAAGCTAGGGACTAAAATGTCAGACACAGAAGGAAAAATGCAGGCTTTCCAAGCAAATCACCATAAATGCCTAAATTATCTGAATCAAGAGTAAGGTGCATGACATTCATTTAATCTCTAATTATGCCACGTAAAACAGGGCTGTCGGGTGGAATGGACATGCCATTACCAAGGAAAAAGTGAGGGAGCATTGCAAATCCTGAATCAAAGCCTACTTTGCTAGTAGGTAGTGCTTTCCATACAAGATGAGCTTGTTGGTAACGCATTACGTGCGCCAAGGGTGCCTCTGGGCCTGGGGCGGTCTGGAGCAGTATAAAAGCCAGTCCGAGTGCAGGCTCCCTCATCCACTTCTCTTGCCTTCTCCTTTGTGGTGAACAAGGTAAGTAGCAAGTGCCTTCCTCTGTCTCTCTTCTTTGAAATTTCTGTCTTTCTCTTCTGGCCTTGGTGTAGCTTTTGCTGAAATGCTTGCTCCGTTCTTGTGTTCCTGACTCTTGGCTCCTTGCCACCACCATGGGACGTGGGAGAAGGTCTTGGGCTTTCTTTGCAGGGAAACCTTGGGGATCAGGGCTCCTTAACCTCCCTTCCTTCCCATGCAGCCTGTCCCTGCTCCCCAGCCTGGGACTTCTCTCTTGCCGAGCAGGCTGTCAGGCTGTGCCTCACATGCTGCCTCTGCTTTCCCTGCCCTCTCTCCCAGGTGCACCTCCGTCCCACAGCCATGTCCTGCTACGATCTGTGCCGCCCCTGTGGCCCAACCCCGCTGGCCAACAGCTGCAACGAGCCCTGTGTCAGGCAGTGCCAGGACTCCCGCGTGATTATTGAACCATCTCCCGTGGTGGTGACCCTGCCGGGACCCATCCTCAGCTCCTTCCCCCAGAACACCGCTGTGGGATCCACCACCTCCGCGGCCGTTGGCAGCATCCTGAGTGCTGAGGGAGTGCCCATCAACTCCGGAGGCTTTGGCCTTGGTAGCCTTGGTGGCTTTGGTGGCCGCTACTACGGCAGAAGGTGCCTGCCCTGCTAAAGCCGGGCTGGATGTCCAGTGAGCGCATCGACCAGGAAGCCCACAGCCAGGTGCCGGATTGAGGACGGAGCTGCTG